TCTTTCAATGGCTATTGACCTCTACTTGTCATGCATGTCTTAATCATATTATCACTACATAAATGAAGTGCATAGATAATAATCAGGAAAAAACGAGATTTTTCAGGTGGATTTCTTGACTGACAACTCCAAACCGCATAAAACGAAAAAAATTCTAAATTGTATGGTTTCCTTCAGTTCAAATATGACAACCTGATCATATGACGAGACAATGAACAAAATGCCTTGTGACGCCGCAGCGCAAAGAGATTTTAGGTTCAACTCTCGCAGTCATTCTGAAAACAATAGAACTAAACGGTTATAATGAACAAATGGCGCAATCATTTATTTCAAAATGGCTCCTCTACTAAGAAGTAGGACATTCTGACTGCAAAATTCAGCGATAAGATGAAGGCTACGGTTTGAGCTTGTCCGTTATGATTGAGTTGTGAAATCTCCTAATCTCAGAGTCCCTTAGCTTCCTAATTGGATCGCTTATCATCGGGCTGTTGTTTGATGACATGTTTGCATGACGGAGCGAATTTTTCATTTTCTCATTGTCAAAGTATTCACTCTTTGCGGACCCCTCACCCCATTTACTGAGGCCAAAACGATTTCACTTGATCATCAAATCTAAGGCGCTGCGTTAAGACCGCAGACTGATTTGGTAGCCGTGGGTTCCCCTCCTACTGCCGCAACCAGTTGAGCCATCAGCAACGTCTGTTTGGATTGGTGGCCTCCTGCGTCGGTGCACGGGTGTTCGGTATAGCATAAGGCAAGACGCGATGAATATTTACTTAGAAGTTATGGTCTCCATTTGTTGTCCTGATCACGCAATATATTACTAACTTCCTGCGGTGGCCAGTCCTTTTATGAAGGCACACCTCTGGCTGAATTCCAGTAATTTCAGTTCTCGAATCGACACTCGATGTGAACAGAAGGCCATTTCTCTGCGACCGCAGATATTCCGGGAATCAGTCTGGAATGTTGCGCCAGCTAATCACTACTTGTTTGGGAAGGCAGCTTTTGCCCTCGAATATTCCTCTTCAGTTCAAATGCCATGGCAATGTTTCGATACGTTGCGGATTCTTAGGCAACTTGATTGACATTGCTGGCCGAAAATGCTTCAAGGAACATTTTTTTTCTGGAAAGTACTACTAGAGCAGGCAAACATTTTGATGAGTGTTGAAAGTAGTCAAATATCTTTAATTATGAAGATGTACGGGCCTTCAGAAAAACTACTTCAAACGTTCAAATGTATGTAAATTTGTTTAGAACAAATTATTACATCTTCGAGGAACATCTCTATTGTTCTTATGCCCAAACATCTTATTATTTTTCGATTATTAATTCGCTCGTTGTACCCTAGTTCATTTGTAGTTTCACTCGTTCGTTCATTTGTTCATTCGTTCATTCCTTCGTTCGTTCATTCGTTCATTCTTTCATTCGTTCATTCGTTCATTCATTCATTCATTCATTCATTCATTCATTCATTCATTCATTCATTCATTCATTCATTCATTCATTCATGCATTCATTCATTCATTGAGGTAGTACCTCCATCAGTCGTTCGTTAAATTGCAAATTTCCATCACTCCGCTCCAAGATACTGATGGCTTTTCACCGTTAAGCATCACAGTTTCATGACAGGATTTCTGTTTTGTCAAATTATGGGGCTTCAGCTAGATCGGTTCAGACGAAACCCACCTCATTTGTGTACATGTTTCAGTGTTCCTGTGTGTCTTTCATTTGCCCATATGTATTTAGATACGGAGAACTGAAGGAAACGTTCAGTCGAACAACCGCAGAACTGGAAGACGTAATGCAAGAAAAGAAAAGTCTAGAAAATGAGCTGCGTGCAACCTCAGAAAAGGCAGACGACCTGAAAGTTCAGTATGTGTTCGCTTGAATACAGAATAAAAGAGTGTTAAGCGCTTGCACCCGATTTTCAGGTTGGAAGACGAAAGACAGAAGCTTGACGAATACCGAAAACAACAGACAGACGGCAACAAATTGGCCGAATCTTTGAGCAGGTGTCTATCTTTCGATAATCAGCACTATCGCTTTATCTGCATTGCTTTTAATTCTTTATTACAGAGTAGCCGAACTGGAGAATTCCCTCAAAGAAAAGGATGAAGAAATCGAAAAACTGAAACATGATACGAATGTCCAAGAAGCACTCAATTCAAAGTTAAGAGAAGTCGAAGACCTGAAATGGAAGTAATTAATACAATTTTCTGATACCATTCATTTTACCAGCAACAGGTTAATCAACACGTTTACGTAATTACATCCAAAGTCAACAATGCAGTGCTTTAAATGGCGCATCCCGCCATGAAGACTAAATCTGATAACGTATTTCGCCGCCTCCTTGCTCCTAGTGACGTAAAGTTTAATTTGAGCAGGCCATGGCTTCATGGTACTTAAGCATTTGCAGGGCTACTTGCAATTCGCATCATTTTTACTGACAGAGTCACGTCAAACTCAGCACGAATGATGTTTAAGCGACTGCCACTCCTTCATTTTTACTGCATTAACGTTATTAGTTCTTCATAAGCATATTAAATACCGTATAACTCGTTCACGACCAAACTTCGATATGTTTCATTGTTAAGAATCGTGAAGTGGAATATGTGAGACTTCACATGTTTATACGGGGAGCACTTGGACCAACTGGTGCCATGAAATTTATGTCTTTATAACCATAAACCCTTTGGCACATTACGGCAAGCAAGTGCTAATTAATAAGATTCATTGGGCGATGTTCATAAGTTTCTCACACAAATTCATTTAGCTAAGCCAAAGGGAACTTTTTTTTCCTGTATTAATTAGGAACTGTTCTATAAAGAATCGCGACAGCATCGAGTTGGATGATCTGGATTCGAAGAGCAAGAAAACCACCATTTAGTTTTGCTGCTTCGCTTCCCAAGTCTTTTGAGGTTCAACTCTTTGAACATCGTGTGGAATAAGCGAGTAAGATAAGAGACGTCATGCTTCAGTTAAGCACCAATGAGTCCAATCTCTGTAGCTATTATGGTCGCCGAGACATTTTATGAACCACGAAATATTCAAATAACTGTGATGACAGACTGCGAGACCGAACTACTCTGGATCTTAAACCAGAAAAGGGGCATCTTGAATGCAAAGATATACGATTGAAATTTGAAGACAGTCTCTTATGCCAAGAGACATCATTACCGTCGTGTCATTTGTTTATTAAGCAGACAATATCTGGATATGACAGCTTTGCGCTTGTCCGAGACTCCTGGCCAGCGTGGACAAACGTCAAAACCGTTTGCCAAGATCGATTGAAGTGGAAAGCCCAAACAAAAATGGCCTCAGTCCTCTATGTGCAGCTCGAATTAGACTACGGATGACTCGTCGCAGACCTGTTGGATAACCAGATGGATTTCAGCACTAATGGGCCACGAGAGTTCAGTTGGAAGACGATGATCCACAAAGGAGATATAAACGCTTGCGAGGGCAGATCG